CAAGTTTGACCAAGTCAAATTTGGTCAAATGAAAAAACAACACTTTGACTCTAGTATTATGAACTCTAAATGACTTCAAATTGAAAAGTTTTGAATACCAAGTTTGTTCAACTCATCAAGATCTACAATTCTTGTTTTGGTCAACTTCCCATTTGAGATAGTTTAGACGGTTCAAATTTGTGATTTTTAAATTTCGATGCTTACAAACTAGTTTTCGGAACCCTAGATTGTCCCAAATTGAAAAGTTTTGAATACCAAGTTTGTTCAGCTCATCAAGATCTACAATCCTTATATAGGCTATTTTTTCATTTGAGAAAGTTTGAACAAAATGTAGTTCAAATTTCACAAGTGTGTGACATAGTTTTAGAAAGTCTATATGAGATTCAAGAATTTGTGACTAGTGTTTGATAAAACTTTCTCAAATGGGAAAATGAACTATGTAACAATTGTATATCTCGCTGAGATGATCAAACTTGGTATTCAGAGTTTTTTCATCTGAGGTCATTTAGTGTCTCATTTGAGCAAGTTTGACCAAGTCAAATTTGGTCAAATGAAAAAATAACACTTTGACTCTAGTATTATGAACTCTAAATGACTTCAAATTGAAAAGTTTTGAATACCATGTTTGTTCAACTCATCAAGATCTACAATTTTTGTTTTGGTCAACTTTCCATTTGAGATAGTTTGGACGGTTCAAATTTATAATTTTTAAATTTCGACGTTTACAAACTAGTTTTCGGAACCCTAGATTGTCTCAAATTGAAAAGTTTTGAATACCAAATTTGTTCATCTCATCAAGATATACAATCCTTATATAGGCCATTTTTTCATTTGAGAAAGTTTGAATAAAATATAGTTCAAATTTCAAATTGTGAACGCGGAAAGTCTATATGAGATTCAAGAATTTATGACTAGTGTTTGATAAAACTTTCTCAAATGGGAAAATGAGCTATGTAACAATTGTAGATCTTGCTGAGATGATCAAACTTGGTATTCGAGGCTCCATCTGAGGTCATTTAGTGTCTCATTTGAGCAAGTTTGACCAAGTCAAATTTGGTCAAATGAAAAAATAACACTTTGACTCTAGTATTATGAACTCTAAATGACTTCAAATTGAAAAGTTTTGAATACCAAGTTTGTTCAACTCATCAAGATCTACAATTGTTGTTTTGGTCAACTTTCCATTTGAGATAGTTTGGATGGTTCAAATTTGTGATTTTTAAATTTTGAATAAATATCCGGATAATATCCGTTTTTAAATATCCGGATATATCCGATACTTATCCGGATTATCCGATATCCGTCGGATATCGATGATATTACATCCGTATTTGATATCCGCCTAAGATATCCGTTTTAGTATCCGTATCCGAAAAAAAAAACCGGATATCTGAGTAACTATCCAGATAAGTGTTCATATTTGTTCGGTCGAACAGACGGTCGAATAAATATCCGTACCGTTTTCATCGTAGGCCTAAGGCATGAAGATGGAAAATGCGATGCGAGGCTATTCCCGCCGTTTCCTCCTTCAAAGCTGGAAACGACGACGGCCCCCGGTCCGCATTAATTCTGGAGCATTGTCGAGTGCTGTCTCAGAATGGATTGGCTTGTCAACAGTTGCGTCTCAGTTCAAAACTCGCACGGCAGACATGGCAAGTTGGCGACTTGGACATGTCTTCTGAACATGCATGCCCTTGGGCCTAGTTGAGGATGCTAAATGAACTGGGCCTAGTTGAAGAATGAAGACATTTGTCCCCGGCCAGGAAGTCTGGGCTCGATCTCAGGCCCGGCTGTCTTGCTTTCGGATACTGGCCCAACATTTCCAAAAGTGCACTATACTATACTACGTGCGAAATAGGCCCGACATACCTAACCGGGCCAGATGCAATGCAGTCCAAAATCAAGTCTGCACAACAGTGTGCTCCTCTCTCTCTCTCTCTCTCTCTGCAGTCTGCACGTATAGGAGTACGAGTAGTAAGTGAGGCCCCGTGCTACGGGGGTACGGGGCTACGGGCTGCCCGAAACAGTCTGACTCTGACTCGGCACGTGGAACGAGCCAGAGCGTAACTACGCTCCAGGGAACAAAAGGTTAAGGGCGCGTTTAGTTTGACGAATTTTTTTGTTTTGCCTGTATAGCATTTTTGTTTGTATCTGATAATTAATGTTTAATTATGAACTAATTAGGTTTGAAAGTTTCGTCTCACGATTTCTCATCCAACTATGTAATTAGTTTTTTTTCATCTACATTTAATACTCCATGCATGTACCGTAAGATTCGATGCGACACTTTAGGATGAAAATTTTTAGAAACTTTTAAAGCTACTCGTACGCTGGGAAGCTACCATGGGCCACTGCCATGGATCGATCACCCCATCAAACGGCTAGGAAGAAGCAAAGCCAGTTTTCAAATTTTGAACGCGGAGCGGAGGTGGAGCAGCGGTTGGCTGGGGACCAAGGTCCAGGGAGCGAGCGACCCCACGGCCGGTCGGCCGCCGCGGGCTCCGTCCTTGTTCTCCTCGACGGTGACCACAGCGTCCCCAACCGCAGGCGTACCAGCAAGGCGAACGCAGCGAGCAGACGGTCCGGGTCGAACTGTGGGTCCCATGCACGGGGACGTGCGGTGCGATCCTTCACCGTCCTGTTCGTTGCTATTTTTTGAGTAGAGTGGTTGTTGTTAGTTAGGTGTGAGATTTGAAATATTATCCGCCCGATAAGTTTAGATTATAAATTATTTTATTTGAAGCGAACAGTTAGTGTTCGTTCAAGTGCATTTCCGGACCGCTAATTAGGTGTGAGTCGCTGGGCCCTAACAGACCACCATGATTGTGCTTTGCACCAAACGTAGCTGGTCTACCGGATGGTCGTTTTTTTCCATTCTACTCATATAATACTCACTGCACGTTTTGTCGGTAGATTCGATCGTGATGACGATCGTGGCACTTTTTTGGAATTTTTTTTGAAAGAAAAAACATTATTATAAGCTTAAAAATTTACGATCGTTTTGCAAAAAATAGACTTCACCTTGTCGTTGTCATTACTGTGTTTTCCAGCCGTGACAATTTAAAAAAAAAAACCAGATAAATGCAAGCATGACATTTTCAGGGACAAGATTTGGGTTCAAATGTTTGGATGGGTTCAAGACTCAAGAGTACGAGATTCTAATAGAAAAATCTTCACCACATCCAAGCAAAGGGAGATAAAGAGGTGTATTCTCAAAATCGTACAGCCCAAAGTCTTAAAATCTTATAATCCACCTCACGCTAGATAATACCAGATACTATGGATATTCAGATGTCACCTTATTATTTGCAAAGTAAGTATATGTTGTTTTTGCAAACAATAGTTTTTACCTACATTTTAGGCTTTTAGCATGGTGAAAAGGCAATTTAGAACTCTAAGGATATCTTGAGACAAGATCAGTAAACTAACAATCCAATTTCTTGTAGTACCATCGATCAAGTTGTAATCTTTTTAAATTTGTTCTAAGTTAATTTTGGCCCCGTTCGCTCCGTTGAAAAAACAAGCCGAAATACTGTTCCGGCTGATTTGTTGTGAGAGAAAAACACTGTTCCGGCTGAAAAAACAAGCTAGAAAAAGATGGATTATAAGAAAGCGAACATTGCTTATCGAGCTTTGAGCACTTTATGTAGAAAAATAGCACTGATTAAGTTTATACAAAATTGCACAAACATTATAACATCTAACAAGATTTATTAGACACACCATGAAATATATCTGATATTGTAGATGTTAGTATAATTTTTTATAAACACGGCCAAAGTTTTGACTTAGGACAAAATCAAAACTATTTACAATTTAAAGCAAAGTGGGCACACTTATTTTCTCTAAAGCAGGATGAAGACTACGGTCATACACGTTGTGATATGTAATTTGCACTCATTTTTTCAATATGCGCAAATCTCTTGGGTATCCTTTCAAAAAAAAATCTAGGGTATTTGAGTGAAGGCATTCAAAATTGTCATAGTCCTATACTTTCACAACATTTATTGATTTTGCCACCTTAGAGCTTGATGGTTAAATTCTTATAGCAACTTATTCTTATTGTTTACTTCAATTGTATAAATTTTAGCACAAAGTTTGCCCAAACTTGACAGCTAATTCGGTGCTCCACGTGATGACGACTTTTAGGTCGTTATAAGCAAACTGAATTAAACACATCTTCAAATTAAGGGCATGTTTGATTCTATCCCTAAAGTTTAGTGGTCTTTTAGTGACCCCCTGTTTGGTTATCTCACTAAAGACCACTAAAACAGTTGTCCTATATACACTTTAGTCATTTCTAGCTACCACTTGGTGACTAAAAACCACTAAACTTTAGTGGTCTCTAAATTTTAGTGGAGTATTTGGTATTTTAGTGACTAAAAGTGACTAAAGTTTAGGAGGGGTGAACCAAACGAGCCCTAAATTCAGGAAATTAAATTCAGAAACTTTACCAAACTAAGGGCCTGTTTAGTTCCCAAAAATTTTTACTTGTATTTTCTTACTTACTGACATATGACTAAAAATGTACTAAAAAAAACTAATTGCACAAATTGAGAAATCCCAGAAAACTTTCGAACCAAACGAGCCCAAATTTAGGAAATTTTAAAAACACGCCCTTCAATCCCTGTATAAAAATTTTACACGTAAACACGCCCTAACCAAAGAGGGCAATCCCTGTATACCAACATAGAGATAGATCAGATGGCAGGCCATTGCGCCGGCACGCGAGACGCCACGCTCATTTCTTCTCCACGAAGCCTTTCAAAACCCAAATCAACTCCCGCAGACGCCTCCAAAGTCCAAACACCAGACCACCGTCGCTTGCCTGCACAGCATCTCCAGGCCACAGCTCGAGCCCAACGACCGACGCCTAGACGCGGCTGGGCGGTCGGCCTCACCTCGTCTCCCCCTCCGCGCCTCCCTTCTTCCTGCTCCAATCTCGCCTCCCCGCCGCGTCGCGCGACCCGGCCAGATCTCGCCCACCCTGCGCCGCGGCCATGGATAACTTGATCACCCTCGTCAACAAGCTGCAGAGGGCCTGCACGGCTCTCGGAGACCACGGAGAGGAGAGCGCCCTCCCGACGCTCTGGGACTCGCTGCCGGCCATCGCCGTCGTCGGAGGACAGGTGCCCTTCTTCCCTTCCCTGGCACGCTCTTTTGTGTTGGTTCTGGTCGGATCTGGTGCTGTCACCCAGCTTCGTGGGGGTGGATCTCGCGGGTTGCTGGTGGAACCGCGAGGGTTAGTTGTGGATGCGGCTTGGCTTTGCTTGGATCTGCAATCACTCGGAGCGCAGGAAGCTAGATTTGGGTCGCTTACATGTTTGAATCTGGAGCAGTTTTGATGCGCCCAACTGCCCGCGTGATTGCTTAATTGCTGAGTTTTCGACTCCCAAAGGGTTAGGAAGCTAGTCACTAATGAGATCAAGTAGGGATGCGAGTATGTTCATGTGATGTTTCCGTGATGATAGTCATAGTTCGATGCTATTCCTCAAACTGATTTGTGCTTTCATGACGTTTGGATTTCTACATGCATAATTCAAATAATGCTGCAGTTTGACGTTTGAATTTTGTTGACAGAGCTCTGGTAAATCCTCTGTGCTGGAGAGCGTGGTTGGGAAGGATTTCCTACCGAGGGGTTCAGGTACTGTTGTAGTAAGAAGTATTTGCTGTGAAGTCCAGTGCTATCTTCTAGTCTAGGTGTTCTGATATGTTAGTGTTGTGGTTGGAATGGTATCTGCAGGCATTGTAACCCGGCGGCCGCTGGTGCTGCAGCTCCACAGAATTGATGGTGACAGGGAATATGCTGAGTTTATGCACCTTCCGAGAAAGAGATTTACAGATTTTGGTAATTCATCTGCTCCTTTTTCCTTTCGTGCTGCATGATCCATGACTGATGGGATATGATTATATCAAATTATATTGTCACTTATGGTTGAGGACTGCTCTATAGTTGAATTTCGTGATGCTCATTGGAACATCCTTTTTTGATATTATATTAATTATGCTATCGTACTAGCATCTGGTTTGCTGTATTTTTTTCCTTAAACATGAACAAACACTCGCACTTGTCTTGTGGGAAATGGTCTTCAATGCTAAACCAGACTTATTTTTAAACTGTAAATTCAGTTTATCCAAATGGTACTTGGTACATAATTATAGTTGTATTCTTGCAGCTGCTGTGAGGAAGGAGATAGCTGATGAAACTGACAGAGAAACAGGCCGTTCAAAGCAAATATCGTCTGTCCCTATCCATTTAAGCATATTTTCTCCACATGGTAAGATGCAAACACTAGCAGGGTATATTGTTGCTGTTACATTATCACATCTCAACTGTTCGCTTCCTAGAGATTGTTGTTTGTTGCAAAGGATTTATGGTTTCCTTTAGCTTGTTGACTCTGTCATAAGTTGGACAGCCATAACGTGTTTGAATCGTGTTATGTGGTTTATCTGATATAGTTCCATGCCCCTTATTTTTTTGTTTTGTCTGATTCTTTGCAGTTGTGAATCTTACTCTTATTGATCTTCCTGGGCTTACTAAAGTAGCAGTTGGTAAGTGATTATCAATTATTTTTTTGTTGTTCTTTATTTAGATATTCTTGTCTTAATTTGCTATTGTCTTTACTCTTGGCAGAGGGCCAACCGGAGAGTATTGTTCAGGACATTGAAAACATGGTTCGCTCATTTATTGAAAAGGTATGGTTAACTGCAACTGCCTTCGTTTTATATTATAGCATCTTTGAGCTTAATTTAACTGGATAAGATGACCATTTGTGCTTATCATTCCACACTGGCAATCACTTCTTCACCCTTTAACTAGATTTGCATGTTTTTCTTCCTAGTCATATTATAGCATCTTTGAGCTATTGACTTGTGTTTTATGTATCAAAAACTTATATAACTAGCATTTTTTTTTTGCTTTTCTCAGCCAAATTGTATCATTCTGGCTGTTTCCCCAGCCAATCAGGACCTTGCTACTTCTGATGCAATCAAGATTTCGCGGGAAGTTGATCCCAAAGGTATGCCTCTTTTGTCAGTTCAAAGAAAGATGATATACAATGTGGTTAGTAGCACATATTTTCTTATACTAGTCAATGCGTGCACACAACACACTTAGGTTAATTTATCAAAATGGGAAAATTAGTTTTAAAACCAGGAAGCATTCATAAAATGGAAGCAGTGCCGCAAGCACTGTCAAATTGTTCCTAATGCCTATTGAGTATAAGGTTTTGTTTTAGGATGACAATCAAAACCACATTTCATCCATGGGATTTCAAGTTGGCTTTGATCCTCCATATCTTCCTAAATCATGCTCTGCATATACAATATAAGACTATACATGTCTTTAATGACTATTGTTACATATGCTTTAACTTTTGGCATGCCAGGAACCTTCATAATGATATATTATCTTGAGTTAGTTTGATATGATGAATATTGGTATGGGCTGACAGTCTTGTGATTTTCATACACCAATGTCGATTTGTCCATCTCTGTTGAAAGTTAATTTACATTTCTCAGATAATTGCTGCCATTGTTCTCAAGTTAATTTCGTTGATGAAAGATGTACTTTTACTGCATTCGTGTAATTTTGGTACATTGTTTATCTTAAGTCATGTGCCTGTTTTATAGAAGTGCATGGTTGTTGATTCAGGTGAAAGGACCTTTGGTGTGCTTACAAAAATTGATCTGATGGACAAGGGTACCGATGCTGTTGATGTAAGTCTGTATGTTTTTAAAGCATTTACTAGATACTTAATAGCTTGCTGTAGCATTATCTTATTAGAATAGTCTTTGCTTAGATGTTCCTTAACTTTATTGGTAATCTTTGGACCAACCAAGCAACTAACTGTTGTCGACGTCTGTTGACTTCTATTCTATACTGTATTTTGCCTTAGCAACATCAAATCTCTAGGTTGCGCTCATAGTCCTAAATGTAAAGAGAACACAAGGATCAAATATATGGGGCATCAATTGTATCAACAAAGGTTATCTGAATAATTGCTTGAATTTGATTTTGTATTAATTTTTTTCCCTGCAGATACTGGAAGGAAGATCTTACCGTCTCCAAACACCGTGGGTTGGTGTTGTTAATCGATCCCAACAAGATATCAACAAGAATGTGGACATGATTGCTGCTAGGCGTAGAGAGCGAGAGTATTTTGCAACTACACCAGAATATAAGCACATGGCTTCTAGGATGGGATCTGAATATTTAGGAAAGATGCTTTCAAAGGTATGCCTTTTCTCTTGAATGTAGATGCAGGTAATGCAAGTTTGACTTCTTTGACTTATAACCTTTGGTGTTTATGCAGCATCTGGAACAAGTGATCAAATCAAGGATCCCAGGGCTCCAATCTCTTATAACAAAGACAATTGCAGAGCTGGAAACTGAACTTAATCGACTTGGAAAACCCATTGCTAATGATGCTGGTGTAAGACAGCCCACATTTTCCTACTAGCAGTTCAATGCTGTGTGCGTATTGTTTTTCATACGGTCCTCATCAGCATTTATTTGGCGGTGTTATCTGCTAGCATAACTAGTTATGCCCTTCAATTCCTGCGCATTTCTATTGATCAACCTGCTCAATGACTTGATTCTGTTACATGTTATCATGTTATATATTCTCCTAGGTGTTTTTTTCCTGCTGCAGGCACAGTAATAATATTTGACTTGTGATGCTTCCCCTTTCTCGCACTAGCAATGTGTGGTTGATACTTGTTTTTTTTTGGGTACTAGCATGTATAATTATATTCTGTCATAGTATCAGGGTTTGCCATGTGTCACCTGCCTTTCCCTGAATAAATTCCACATGTAGTGTAGTGTTACTACTAACCTTCAATTAGTTGACCACATTTTATTGGTAAATGCAGGGGAAGCTGTACACGATCATGGAAATATGCCGTATGTTTGACAGTATCTACAAAGAGCATCTGGACGGAGTGTATGTTCCAAACAATATTTTTCATAGTCACCTTTTCAGAGTTTTATTTGCCATGCCTACACCTTTGTGAATCATGATTCGATGATCTTTTTAGGTTCCTGTAAAAATCCTCAAATCATAGTAACATTTATCCTCTTTTTTTATGATATTTTATGTGAAGTTATATATTGTAATGCATGTGGACATGCTGCTTAAGCTTTTGTTTAGTCAGTTTTGTCACAGTATAACTTGTACCATGAAAGGGCTGACAAGGCTAGGAATCTCGATAACAGAAACAGATCCTCTAGATTTTTTTTTTAAAACTCATGCAGGGGGAGACATGACCCCTGAGTCTAATCTTCTGGTGTAAAAAACATTTTTGTTGCTTGTCATTGAATCATTCGTGTTGACCCTCTTTATTTTTAGTCACATTGTAATATTGAAAGTACTGATGTCTTGTCCAGAAGAACCTTATAAAGAGTGTTAATGAATAACAAAACCATTTTTCTGCTATTCTGTGCGATTTCCGATGGGTTCAACTTGTAGCAGAGGTATGCTTGCGGCTTGTTTTATGAATTTTAACCCAGTGTTTTCTGCTGTCCAGGCGTCCTGGTGGAGAGAAAGTTTACCACGTCTTCGACAATCAATTTCCTGTTGCTATTAAACGATTGCAGTTTGATAAACAACTCTCTATGGAAAATGTGAAGAGGCTTATAACAGAAGCTGATGGATACCAGCCTCACTTGATAGCTCCAGAACAAGGATATCGACGCCTTATAGAATCTTGTCTTATTAGCATCAGAGGTCCTGCTGAGGCAGCTGTTGATGCGGTATGCCAATTATACCTATGAACATGCCCCTTCGAAATTCATCATGAGCTCCAAGGCCTTAATTTTTTGTCACTTGGAACTGTGCCAAAACTTTTGATGTTGCTGTGCTGCTGAATCAGCTGGGCCTATACTTGATAGTTTTGCCCATTATTGCAAACAGTTTATTAAGACAGCGCGTTCTGTTTATCCTGTATGATTTTGTTGGGTTCTGGGGGTGTTGCTGTGTGCATTTATATTTATTTAAACTGAGGTGCCAATACATTTGAGAATAAAGAAGGGCTGTTGTGTTATTAGGCTGAATTTACCCACACAACATATCAAACAATTTGCTGAACTACGCATTGATTAATTAGGTGCTATTTCACTCATAGATGAGCACTGACTAGTCATATATGACATGTTACACCAAATGAGGATTTTGTGGAGATCATTCTTTGCACAAATATGCACTATGACCTCAGCTAGCCTCTTTTAAAAAGTCATGTCCATTCATGGATCAAACATTGGACCAAATTATTGGCATGAGACCCTTGATTTGTAGTCATTGAGCAAAGTGTATATTGCATGGTTCCTTCATCATTATTATTAATTACGTGGCATTTGTCTGCACTATCCATGTAGTTGCTTATTATGTATTGGCATGTCACATTGGCAGGTCCATGCAATTCTGAAGGACCTTGTCCGGAAGGCTATCAATGAAACACATGTAAGTTTTCCTCATTTCTACTAGTATATTATATTATACCATGCAAATCCCTCCCCCCACACCCCACCCTACAAACTGTCAACTCACCTAATCTGTTCGATTACCTTTCTGCAGGAGCTGAAGCAGTTTCCCACCCTTCGTGTGGAAGTAGGCAATGCAGCTTTTGAGTCATTGGATAGAATGAGGGATGAAAGCAAGAAAAATACATTAAAGCTAGTTGACATGGAATGCAGCTACTTGACAGTAGATTTCTTCAGGAAGCTTCCTCAGGATGTTGAGAAGGGTGGAAATCCAAGCCACTCTATTTTTGATAGATATAATGACTCTTATCTTAGACGAATTGGTAAGACTTATATGATCTCTTCACTTTTGCTCGATAGTTTATTATGTAGTTATTTACTGCTTAACTTAGAAGGATCTCTTCACTTTTGCTCGATAGTTTATTATGTAGTTATTTACTGCTTAACTTAGAAGGGCAGGCCTGGTGTAGTGGTGAGAGCTGTCTCACTGAGTCACCAGATCGCGGGTTCGAAGCAGCCTCTCCGCAGATTTTGCGGGGGGAAGGCTTGCCTCGGTTTTTCCCTTCCCCAGACCCCACTCATGTGGGAGCCTCCGGCACTGGGTCTGCCCTTTTTTTTATTTACTGCTTAACTTCTCACTGTACTAAACAATAAACAGGACAAACTGTTCTGTCATATGTTAATATGGTGTGTTCGACCTTGAGGAACTCCATCCCAAAATCTATTGTTTATTGCCAAGTGCGAGAGGCCAAGCGCTCGCTGCTCGATCACTTCTTCACTGAACTGGGAGCAAGAGAGGTGAGATTTGTCATCATTTGAAAGGAATTCTTGGTTATGTTTTTGTATTACCATAGATTTCATAATTTCATTATATTGCAATTTTCACCTTGTTTATTTGTTCATTCAACATATTGTAGCTTGTTGGTCCTTACTTGTGTGCTCTTTACCACATCCAATGTGTTAATAAATATTTCAATGCTGCAAGCACTGGAAGCCATCAATCCCTTGTTGAAGGAATGCCTTATGAGGTATAATGCAACTGTCGTATCTTATAATTCTACCATTTGGTATGCAGATGAAGCAACTTTCCAAACTTCTCGACGAAGATCCAGCAGTCATGGAACGCAGAACTAACCTTGCAAAGAGGCTGGAGCTGTACCGGAGTGCCCAATCGGAAATTGATGCAGTTGCATGGTCCAAATAGTCCTGATGGCCAGGATATCTGTTCTTAAACATGTTCTTTACCCCTTGTCTGGCGATTCTCTCTCCTATTCTGGGGCATATATAGCTGATTTTTCCTGTTGTAGGTCAGGTCATTTTATAGATCACCGCAGCTGTACGGTGTCGTTTGGTTGTGCTTTTGTTCCTTGTGCTTGAGGATCTAGGGGACACCTGGCTGCTGTACTCTTGTATCACGAACGAGTTCATATAATTGTGCTTTTGTTACCATGCATTCTTTTGTTCCATCTATGTGCAGCTACATGAAAGCATGTTTCCCTGTCACGCTGTTCAAAATCTTGCTAAAAGTTACTCCCATTAAAACACTAACAGTTGGGTATATATGTATCTGCAAAGTGTTCAACGGCCTTCTGGCCTGGTGAATTGTAAGTGTTGGGTGATGCTGCGGAATCTGACCAGCATTACCGCAGCTACTGCATAGCCACGATGCAGCCAATCGTGCTGCCCGCCTGATTGTTTGGAGTGCGCAGGAAGCTAGGAACCTCTGTCAACTCCGGTCTCCAGCAAACGACTTTTGTGCAGGATGTATATTAGATTAACATCTAACCATTCACTTCGTAGTCGTCCTAATAGATGCAAAATCATCGTTAAAGAAAGACTTCAGTCCTAATAGGCGAAAATTCTTCGTTAAAGAAAGAAGATAAATCCAAGTAACATAAGATATCACGGAGCGAGTTTAAGCAGGTGGTACATTATTGTAAGCTGTGGGTGTGATACAGTTGATCGATTCTGCAGTTTGTTCTGGTATTCGCTGATCGACTATATTTGTACAGAAAGTTTGGATCAAAGCTAATATGAATACACAAGAACACACTTGATGACACGAATGTATGTACAACGGTAGCTTTTCTTGAGGTATGCTCTACGTCGTTGTCTGGTAATACTTGTTTACTAGCCTTTCTGAATACTCGCCGAAAGTCAGCGTTCCGTTTGGTGGAATCAACTGGTCAAGGTCAAAACACAAACTGAATCATTTGGGAGGGAATTACGAGTTCCAAATGCAAGAGTATGCGTAGAGTTCACACAAACCTCTTGGTGATAGGGGATTTCGCTTGGAAACTTCAGCTTCTCATTCCTGCCAAACGGTTGAAGAAAACAAAAAAAAAAAATGAATTTGAAAGCCCATTATCAGCAATATTTGCAGAACAACGGACCAGCTAGCCTCATTGGTTCCCAGTTGGAAATAACATACTCAATACAATAAAGCCAGCAAATTATTTGGTACACAAAAGGAAAGCAAAAGTGGACTAATGCAACTTATATATACGATATAAGAAGAAAGCTTTGGATGTACCAATCCGGTTGCATGAACAAGGCAAAGGTAGAGCGGTCAACATTTGAAGCATTTTCACTGCTGGGTGCCTAGAAACAACAGAATTAAACCCAAAAAAAAACCTTAGTACATTAGTTGCCACAAAAGTACAGTAAAATGTATGCGAAAAACACATGCTTAGTTATCGAGATGAATTTTGGTTTCAACAATACCTGCACACAGTGTGGGGTTGCACATAGATAACCTCTTGACAGTATTTCAGTAGTTTCCCCAATTTGGTAAGCCAGCTGATCCTCGTCAAACACAACCTATGCCATCCAGACAAACAAAATCAGCACAAAACAGTATAATTTACACGCGATTTTTAATGACAATGAGCAATTATTGTGTCAAGGGCATCAATAGTTTCAGTGCAGCATGAATCATGTGCTACAATAGCGACGATCTCCCACATGATTTATCATCTATAACTGATAGAGAACTCTCATCTAAAGAAATCGATGAGAAATTTACACTCTGCAGGAAGTTACCTTAACAACTTGGTTACCACGAGTCCGAATGTATAGTCCAGCTGCACTATCTGGACATGGTACCTCCACAGAATTCTTCGTAAACAAGCCACATGTGAGCCCTGCATTAATCAGATTACCACACATTAACTATAAGAAATGTCACTTGTTTGATGATAACTCACAATCATTTTTTTACATATTATGCCACAAAACTAATTAAATATTTAATTCAACCATAATGGTAAAATGAGTCACCTGTTAGAGATCCATGATCAGTGTGCCATCCACACCATGATGAAACAGACTCCACGTCTGTCTGCTTGCTGGCATAAGAGACAAATACATCAATTCTCAAACTAACTGAAAATCCTGCATCTAAAATATATCATTAACATTATGATGCATCAAAAAAAGTTGAAGTTGCATTGCAAGAGGGGCTCTTTTCCCTCTTCGTCTTAATATAATGATACACGTCTCTCCTGTGTGTTCAACAAAAAGAACTATGCTGAATTTATTTTTGTACACTCTAACTACAACACACTTGAATGATGTTTTATCACCTTCATAAATGTAACTCTTTATGCATGATTATTCATTCAGGTCCGCATATATGATTATAAAGTTTACCTAAACTGTCGTGGGAAATAGTACAACAGACGACCCTTGTGACACCTTGAATGGGCAATTGTCTGCTCAAGACTGTCACCATCATATGATCCCAATCCTTGCCCCATTACTGAAAAGCGGCAAAGGTTGATCCATTTTACTAATTGATAAACATATCACGATGGAAGAAAAAAGAGAGACTATTCTGACTGAAGAATCAAGCATAGAGGTCATGCTTTGCCCAAGCCAAATGAGTTAATTTTCCTTTCTGGCGAAGTTGATGTTTTCAGCGGAAATCACACCGAGTTACAGTAATGGACCTTATGGTTCTGCAACACATACCATAGCGATCACAATGATGAGCCAACATCAAACCAACTTCCATCATCAGCTTCCCAAGAGCTTTAAATGCTACAAAAAAAAGGAAAGAAGAAATTCTGTAAACACAGTCTAGTTTCCAAGTATGAATGTGAAAATGTAAAGGAAAAAAAGAAACAGATTGAAGTCACTTTGACAGCTTATCGAATGCATTCAGTCATACCTATCTCAAGTTCAGGAAGATTCTCATTTGGCCATATATTTGGTCGGCAGTATGATGGATACCTGCAGGTTAAACATCATCAGAGGTTTAAAATGTTGGATCACAGTATTGGACCATGACGGAAATCAAGACGACAGTTCCATGCTAGAAACATTTTACCTACTTACAAGCACATCATCAGTAGTAGGGACATCCAAAACAGGGTTCGCATAAAAGGAACCTTTAAATGTGTCTGCATGCAATAATCAAAGTTTATCTTCAGAGGAAGTTCATGCACAACCTTCATGGGAGCCTAGCAGTATAAGATTAATGGAGTGGAGCAGAGGTCAACAGACAGCCTCATGGTAGGAATGAGATTCGTGTCCCAAAAAACCTGTTTTCTTTGCGACATCTTTTCAAGGATACACATTACGCCTACCCCACACACAACAGGATACTACATGATAACTCCCGGAATGGACAACTGTTTACCAAGTTTCCCGGACTCGAGTTTCTCCTTCCCATGACTCCACCCGAAGTTATATCTGCAATTGACAAGTGCATATAAGCCAGTGGTTGCTACCCACAAGTAACAGTACTAACTAGTAGCAGGAGTTTTCAGGAGGGTGCATCATAATGAAATTCTTGACAAACAGCACGACCTACTATCTGGATCTTCAAGCTGTTTCTTCACCTGTTCAGGAAGGTTTGCAATCCTGACAAACAAGAAAGCAAGAACAAAGAACAAAAAAACCTTTCATCATCAGTAAACAAACAACTCTGACTATTTTCTTGCAGGGCAGAATAAACCACCCGGTACAGGAAGAACGAGGGGTATATATAACATGTCATCAGCATAAACGACATGCCTTGGTGCCAACCGCAGTAGCCTTTTTCTTAGCTCTGGAAACTCAGGTACCTGCGTGGACCAAGATCAAGACAGTCATATAACTCGAAATCCATAACTGAGGTACTATGCCACTCGGTTCAGGAACGGACTCAACCCATGACTCGAAATCACGATTCACGCGTGCAGTCAGTCCACAGCGCTTGCTACTCACATCGGCAATGGTGATGATGCCGAGCCCATGGGGACCCAGGCCTTCCTCGATCTTGCCGCCGAGGTCCTTGTCCGTCTCCTGCGCACGCCCACCCGCCGCCGAACGGCACGTGGTCAGAATCACGAGAAGTCACACACACGCACTCCCGAGATGACAGCACTCAACACCGGGGAAGATTACCCTGAGGTCGGCGAAGGGGATGGTGACCGCGCGGACGGTCGGTGGCCGCTCCTGCTGCTGCATCGCGCGGCAACGGACACGGACCCGGCGGGACGACTCGGGGGCGAGGGCGAGGGTGAAGGTGAAGGAGACGACCTGGTCCCGTGATCTGCGCCGCGCGGCTGGACCTGCAGGCCAAATGGAGGTGGTTCGTGTTCCCACGGCGGCAGCGACGAAGCCAGGAATCGACGAAGCCAGGGCTGGCTTCCTCTTCTTCCATGGCGGTAGCCCGGCTAAGCCCGGGCTCCATGTAAATCATGGCCGTAGGGGGGGCTGGAGCACGGGTAGCCCCCCCGCTGGCTTCGTCGCTGCACGGCGGTGCCCACCTCCACCATGACGTCGCTCGCTGCCGTGTCCCGTTGGACTCGGTTGGGTTGGGGCGACCTTGGTTTTGGCGGCACCCGGCGGAGATAGATGGAGACGGAGACGGAGAGGTCGGGGATTAGTAACTTTTTACCGTTATACTGATCGGCACCATCAGATAGCACTTTTAACGGTTGCCCACTGTATTTCCATTGGTAGACAGAGAAAACTGATATAAATTTACCATAGTTGCTCGTGTGGCACGCTAGCCACACAAAGCAGCGTGGATCCGAGTCTGTGAGTCACGTAAAATGTCCCTCCTATCCTCGTCCTACTCGGGTTGTCTCTCGGCTACAAGGAAAAGGAGGGAGCAGGGTCAGTGCAGCTAGATGCTCGACAAAGAGCCTGCCTAGGCGCGCCGAGTGTGGGGCCCGGCTAAGCACGTCGGACTACGGTAGGAGGAGGCCGTGA